GAGCTGAGTCACCCTCTGGCTCCAGGAAGCCTGGCCACATGACCTCCACACTGAGGCAGCTTGGCTTTCTGCTGAATGTGAGCAAAGTTACTGCTGCTTCTGAAAGCAGAGGGGAGGTGAGGAATTTCACCAAGCATCCCTTTCAAGAGCCGTCACCATCTCTGGGGCACCTCCACTGAGGGTCTTGAAGTGACAAATTGCATGAAGAGCTGGGACCTCACTGTCAGTACACGCTGGTGCTCCCCTTGAGCAGGAGACATTGTTAGAACCACCTTGTGGAAACATTTGCAAGACAATTTGTCTGTCTGAATATCTTAGAGGAAAAGATGGAGCTTACAGACTCAGATGACACAGGAACCACACACACACACACACACACACACACACACACACACACACACTCCAATATACAGACATGCATGCCTGGCACACACATATGCCAGGATACACCCAAACACACTCACCGCAAACATACTCACACCCACAGAGAACATGCCCATGTCTCACACACACACTCATGTGTCCCTATACAGCACACAGCATCAGCTTGGTGGACAGGCTGAAGATCTATGGCCCCAGGCAGACCTGAGACCCTAGGACTCAGGGAAGGAAATGGCAAAACACCCCCAGTGCATGGTCTAGTGTGGCACTGTGTGCACCCTGGGCCCTGCCCCTGACTGAACCTCTACGTTCTCATCTGTGAAACAGGCGTCAAAGGCTGTCCAGACTGCTGACGCACTGGACATGGGGTGTGCACGGAGGAAGAAAAACAGGAAAGCCCAGCCTCTGCCTTGGAACAGCTTCCGATGGCACAACCCTCTCTACTCTGCAGCTTGCCCCTCCCTCTGAGCCCATACTTCCCAGCCTGCAAGGGGCTCCAGCCAGGGCATTATGGGTGGGGGTCCCACTGGTTGAAAGCCCAAGCTGCTGCCTCTCAAGCACTCCTGCAGTGCCGCCTACTGGCGGCAGGGAGCCACAGTGTGGCCTGGCACCAGTCCTGGGTGGCTCCCCAGACCCAGGGCCAAGCCCCAGAATGGGTTCAGACAATAGGTTGGGCGCAGGCTGCCAGGGCCAGGAATCTGGCCCCCAGTTTCTAGAGAGTCAGGGAAGACTCTTCCGGCTCCTCTCCTCTCTCTCACCCATTCACATGCACATGAGTACAAAACATGCCATATGACAAGGTGACTTTAAAGTCTGTTGGCTTAGCCATGCTCACAGACACATGACAGTTGATAGATAGATGATAGATGGATAGATAGATGGATGGATAGATGATAGATGGATGATGGATGGATAGATGGATAGATAGATGATAGATGGATGATGGATGGATAGATGATAGATGGATGGATAGATGGATGGATAGATGATAGATGGATGATAGATGGATGGATAGATGATAGATAGATGATAGATGGATAGATAGATGGATGGATAGATGATAGATGGATGATAGATGGATAGATAGATGGATGGATAGATGATAGATGGATGATGGATGGATAGATGGATAGATAGATGGCTGGATAGATGGATGGATAGATGATAGATGGATGGATAGATGGATGGATCAATGATAGATGGATGATAGATGGGTAGATAGTTGATAGATGGATGGATGGATGATAGATGGGTGGAGAGAGATCATTGGCGGCTGAGCCAGGCCTGAGCCAGTAGGGCAGGAATGCGGACAGATGTAAGGGCCCCACAAGTGCCTGTACTCACCCTCAATAAACAGGGTGTTGGGCCTGAGTGCCGACAGCTCCCTTTTCCCCGAGATGAGGGCCCAGGAGGAGGAAGAGGAGGCACTTTGGTGCCTCTTTTGTGGCTGACAGCTGCTGGGGCCTGAACGAAATAAATGTTGTTCTGTTGGTTCTGTGGATGCCCCATGCTGCCCCCACATACCCACCTGCAAGGAAGAGTGTCTCCTCCTGCCCCCTCCACCCCGTCTCCCTCTCCTCCTCTTTACAGAATTAACTCTCCTTTGTTAGCCTCTCCCTGCTTCACTCACCTTCCTAAACTCTTCCCCAACCCTTCTCAATTTGCAAGAGAGACAAAATAAAGAACACAGTAAAGTAAATCTTGGACACTGGTACTCATACCACGTGCTGCTAGCAACTCTTGAGGAGGTGGGTGTCTCTGAAATTGAGTACTGGTGGGATTGTAGCAGGATTTGCCTGGTCCTGTGGTTTGGGTCACCTGCCTGATATGCGGCCCCACCATGAGGCTTTCTCGGGGCTCTGGCACAGGAGGGAAGTGCTGGGGCAGCCAGGGCCCCAGCCCTGCAGAGCTTCATGGTCTCTGAGGGGGTGCAAGGCCGCCCTGAGCTCCTCTGTCAGGGCCTTCTCATCTCTCCTGGGACTGGACATCCCTCGAGGGAGCGTGGAGCAGTTGGCGCCTGAAGCAGACGCAGGAGACCCCTCCCCATTCTCTCCCTGTGTTCACAAGGGGTGGGAGGCTCCAAGGGTGCAGATGTTCTCTTGTACTTCTGTTTCTTTCTTCCAGGCAAGCATGTGAGGTCTCTGAAACCCTCATCTCCCACTTCCCCAGCCCTCACTGACTTGGTCCCTTCCAGGCTCCAATCCTTTGTCTTCCTGCAACTTCACCCAGATCCCTCCTCCTCATCCTGCCTATCACCCTTCATGGTCTTACGAAAGATAGACCCCGCCAGAAGCCAGTCCTAAACCACAGGCTGCTCCCCTGATGCCCAGGAAAATCTGACTCCAGGCAGCGTGGCTCAGTCCTGCCTGCTTGATGTGGCACAAGGAAACAAGTCTCCAGTTGACCCCTCTTGTGGGAATCACTGAGTCAGGGCCAGGATCTTCCATAAATGGGCTGTGTGACCTGGGAGAGCCCTTCTGTCTCCATAACATGCCCTCAGCCACTGACCTAGGGCTTTTCTATCCAAAGCCTTGAGCTTCTTTTACTCTCCACAGAGAGTCCTGGATGGAAGCATTCCAAATGTACCCCAAACCTTCGCTGGATGGGTCAGAGGAGGCTGCCCTGCGGCAGGCCCCCCAGGAGCACCCAGCCCTCCCCAGCTGCCAGCCAGCCCAGGGAAAGAGGTCTGAGTGGAACCCGCTGGGAGCGTGCCCTGGGCTGTCGTGAACACATTCTGGGTGCCTCTGACCAGGGTGGCTCTGTGGGGAATGAGGTTGGGCTTTACTTGTAAAGTTGCTATTGTCATTTTAGAAATTGATTCTTTAATTAACATTAAAGTAGAAAAAAGTAGTAAAATTACAGTTCTTTGGTGTAAAGTTCTGTGAATTCAACACAGTTATAGATTTATGTAATAACATTTTGGGTACAAAACAGCTCCCTCACCTCAAAAATTATTTTTATATTCATACCACCCCCCACCTAACCCTTGGCAACCATCCCTACAGTGTTTTATCTACAGATGGACTCACACAGTGTTGGACCTTTGAGACTGGCTCCAGCCACTGGTCCCGACTCTGAGATCCTCCAAGCTGTTGGGGTGTACCAACAGCTCACCCCTTGTATTGGGGGCAAGCACCCCGTTGTGTGGGTGTGCCCCTGTTGGGTTATGCACTTGCCCGATTGAAGGGTATTTGGGTTGTTACTAGTTCTGGTGATTATTGAATACACTTGCCACGTACGTCTGTGTACAGATCTCTGTGTGAATGTAAGTTTTCACTTTTCTTGGGTCAACATGCAGAAGTGTGACTGCTGAGTGCCGTGTAGTGCCGTGCTGTCTGCGAAGGTGGCGGGACACTTTGCATTCTCCCCAGTGTGCATGAGAGCTCTGGCGCCGTGTTCCTGCTGGCGCTCAGTGCCCTTGTCCGTGGGCTCCTGCAGCCACAGGGGTGGGTGGTCACCGGAAGCGTCTTCCACATGCTCCTTCACCAAGACATCTCCTCAAGGCCTTGTCCAAGTTTTTAATTGGGTGATTTGTCTTTTTACTGTTGGTTTCTGAGAGCTCCTTTTGTATTCTGGATACAATTCCTTTGTCAGATACGTTATTTGGAAATATTTTCTCCTAGTCTATGTCTTGTGTTTCCATTCTCTTCATGTTGTGTTTTGTAAAGTTTGTAATTTTGATGAAATCCAATTTGCGACTTCTTTCTTTTATGGGTTGTGCTTCTGTTGTCACAGCTAGGAACTCTGCCTAACCCAAGTTCATGAAGATTTTCTGTTTTCTTCTAAAGGCTTTATCATTTTACATTTAAATCTCTGATCCATCTTGCCCCAATTCTTATGTAAAGTGTGAGGTTTAAGTCAAGGTTCATTTTTTGCATGTTGATGTCCAGTTTTTTTTAATCTCATCATTGAGAAATACAGACATTGGTTATGGCTTCCCCTTTTTAAAAAACCTCCAGTGGCAGTCCAGGTGCTCTAGACAAGAGTCCTCACCTGCAAGGTGGAGCTCCCCTCTTCCATGAGCTCCCCTCCTTGCTCAGGGGAGACCCCAGCCTGTGTCTTGTGTGGGGCCCACCCTCTTCAAACTCTGGTTTCTGCACGACTGGCCTCTGCCCTGCTGCCCGCTGCCAGTCTCTCTCACTAGGATCTAACCCATGAGGCAAGGGACGCCTGTGTTTTGCTTTCACAAACACTGTTGCACGAGGGTTAGTGAGCACTTCCCAGCATCTAAGGCAAGGGGAGTGTGCAGGGTGGACTGAGGGAGTCTGCAGCCCCACTGCCAGGCTGCCTCCTGACTGAGGGGAAGGGGAAAGGGCGGGCCAGCCAGGGGCAGACTGGGATCCCATCCATATTTTTGGTAAGTTATTTTTGCCAGAGCTGGCGTGGGATGGGAGGGGCAAGGTGGGAGGAAGGGGGTCAGTAGGGCAAGTACAGAGGATGAGGTCATCGGAGGGAGAAAGGAGGAGGAGGCACAAGGTGAGGGTGACCTGAAGGGGCAGGAGGCTAACAATCCTCTGTGGGGGCGAAGGGTCAGCGTGGGACCACAGCAGAGGCGCAGAGAGTGGCCTCAAGAGGCTCTGTCTGCGCCCCTCCCTTTTTCTCCGTCTCTGTCTTCTCCATCCTCCCTTGGCCCACTGCTCTGGTCTGCTCTGTTCTCCTCTCCAGGCCAGCTTCCAGACTCCACTGGGGGCAGCAGAAACCACTCTGCCTCTCTGTCTCCCTTGTGAACTGGAACAATGGGCACCCCAAACCGTAGAAGTCAGCAGCGCCTCCCATGGGACCGCAGGCTCTTGCCATGAGGTGGGTGCTGGACCAGGGCAGGAGGGTGGAGGACTCAGGCCCAGGGCAGCTCCGTCCGCCTCACTCAACTGGAGCTCCCTCCTGGAGGGAGAGCTGGTTCAGCTGCATGAATGATGGCTCCATTACACTGTGTTTCAGAGGGATGTTGAGGGGTTGGCGAGCCCGGGCTTCAGAACTTACACATCTTCTCCGGGTCTGTGTGCCACAGAAACACATCAGAGGTCAGTTGGGTGGGGGGCTGGCTTTGTCTACAAGGTCCAGAAACCCAGCGGAAAACACCAGAGGCCACATCAGTGAAAATTAATTTGTGTCAGTGACATTTCTGAGTGACACAAGCCACAAATTTCCTGCATCTGCTTTTAAAGTCAAGAACCTGAAACTGAATAAACCCCAGCAAAGGAAAACAGCCTGTTCCCTGCTGCAGCAGTGAGAAGGGGAACAAGGAAGGGAGAGGTGGAGGGGAGAGAGGCTGAGCAAGCCCCTCTGGGAATTGGGGCCAGTGGTGGTTCCTAAGGGACCCCAGGCTTTTCCCCATCACAACCCTGCCTGGGGCACTGCTCCTCTTGTCCAGATGGGCTTGTCCTGACCTGGACTGGTGCTGCTTCTTGCTGCTTCCATGGCACCTGTTTAGCCAATGGCATTTCTGGATGTCCCCGGTTGCTCCAGTGTGGTGCCTGATTTTGGGGTACACCCACTGGATCTCGGCTGTGTGGGCAGTGTGGATGTCTTCCCACTGGGGCCCCCATGTGCCCGCCTCCCCAACTTGTGCCACCTCACAACCACATGTTGGTTTTTAATTGATTCTTTTTTTTTTTTTTTCTGGGATAGGCAAAATTATAAGAACAGAAAACAGAAGAGTGGTTGCCAGGGGTTGATGAGGGGAAGTTTTAAGGTCATGAAATTGTTTTGTGTGGTTCTATGGTGGAGGTAAAAGACTCCACACACTTGTGAAACCCCGAAGGACACCTCAAAGAGTGACCCTGGCTATGTGAACAAGACCAAGAGCAGCTGAGGTGTGGGGGGGTCCTGGGCTGAATGGGACCTGGGGTATTGGGCGGAGGACCCACCGCCACGGAGAGAACCGACACAAAAGAGCTGACCTGGGCAACTTTGCAAAACACCTCTACACTAACACTGAACTCTAGTGGGTAAATTTATTTCCCACAGGTTACGGTTTGGCAGCTCTGAACCACTTCACATATATGTGAAGATCTCACAAGTAAACACACTGTAGAGAACAGGAGCGGGCTTCTCACAGCTGGACAAGGTTTCGGGTAAGTGTGGGGAGAAGGCCAGAAGGAACACTTTGGCACTCAACTATAATTGGTCACGTCAGTATGGACTCGTGCTTTCCTCACAGAGAGGCCGAGAGATAAAAAGTCAATGTCCACATGCGTGCACATGTGGGTTAGTACACATACCCAAATTTCCTAGCTTTGCCCTCTGAGAGGCCTGGAAGCACAAAACACCCCACTGGCAACAAGCATACTTTATGCCCAGATCTTAGTTTCTAAACAGCACCTTCAAAAAAAGGAATCAGTTTCCTTGGAGAAATGCCTGATACTAGGGCTGAGGCAGAGAAAATGCAAGATGAGCCTGGAGCATCTAGCAGGCCTAGAAAGTAAGGAAATGCTAAAAAATAATAATAAAAAAATTTAAAAGTACTGGGCTATAACCCAAAGAATAAAATAAATTTATTTTATTTGTACTGCTACAAATAAATGGTTGAACAAATAGAAACTAGGAGAAAGGGGCTAATCTTCCTTATAGACAGATCCCAAATAATAAATGTTGAAGGAAACAAAAAATGTAGAGGGGAAATAGAAATCCTGTAGAGTAGAGTAGCATTGTAGAGGGGAAACAGAAAATCACCATCAGATCCCCACAGTAATAATGCTATAGATCCACAAAGGAATGCTAAAATTAGTTTGCAAAACGTTAGGAGAAACCAGATAGTTGCATAGTCTCAAAGTATCTCCCCTAAATATCATTAATTTATGTAGAAGGTTTTTAAAAATTTTTTAAAAAGATTTTATCTATTTATTTGAGAGAGAGCCCATGAGCAGGGGGAGTGGCAGAGGGAGAGGGAGAAGCAGGCTCCCCGCTGAGCAGGGAGCCCTACACGGGGCTCGATCCCAGGACCCCGAGATCATGACCCGAGCCAAAGTCAGATGCTTAACCAACTGAGCCACCCTGATGCTCCTTCTTCTAGGGGCCAGAGCCCAGTCACTGCTGCCCATTTGTGTGTGGGCTACACTTCACGACTTGCTTCTAATGGACAGAACGTGAACAGAAGAGTGGCTTCACAGTGGGGAACCACGTGGCAAAGGTCAGCATCGCTGTGGCAAGTCGTGATAGTACCACATGTCCCGACATGATGTGATGAGAAAGGCACTTCACCTCTGTGGTATTCTTCCCCAAATCCATAATCCCAATCAAAACATGAGAAAACATCAGGTATTTCCACAAAATACCTGAACAGTTCTCTTCAAGGTGTCAAAGGTTGAAAAACCAAGAAAGAATGAGAGACTGTCACAGATTGAAGGCGGAATGGATGTGAGGCTCCAGGCAACATTGTGTTCTACGCTTTTCAGCATCACTGTGTGGAGGGTTGTGTGTGCATGTGTGAGTGTGTGCAGGTGTGTGCTCATGTGTGTGTATAAGTTGGGCATGTGGGCAGGCCTGAGTGTGCCTATGATTTGTGTGTGTGTGAATTTGTGTGCATGAGCGTGTCTATGATTTGTGTGTGAACGTGTGTGCATATGTGTATGATTCGTGTGTATGCATGCAAGCATGTGGGGTGTGTGTACAGTGTGTATATGATTTGTATGTGCAAGTGCACTAGGAGATTTCCAATCATTAGCATGTGTGGCAGCCAGATTTTTAAGGATAATGTAGAATCAAAGCCCTTAATAATTCCAATAATCCACCAATTTCACTTTATGAATACTAAACCCTCCTCGCCCTAGTGACCAGTTTAGCAGGTTAGGAAGTGCCCTGGTTGTGCTTTCCTGTGGAATTGTGTGCCGTGGGCATAGATCATTTGTCAGAGTGCCTCCAGCTGCAGTGACCAATTCCCAGCCCACCCTGGGCAGATGGGGGTCCTCTCTGGGCTGGTAAGAAGAGGTCCCTGAGGGGTCTTGAGGGTGCTGCCCCCTTTCTCACCTGCTAAGCATTGCCTCAGAACCATAGCCCTTCCACTATGTTACTGAGGGCCACAGGCCTTCCTGCAAAACCCTTGGGAACAGATGCATTTTGGAATTCAGAATGTTTCTTGAGTTTGGAGGAAGGAGGAAAGGATGGCTGTTAGAGCCCAGAGTCCTTCCCAATGTGTGGACACTAGAGGGTCAGTTTTTTTCCCCACACCCCCAGGTCTCCTTCAGCACATCGTCTGCAAATCATGCTCCATGGCCACACAAGCACCCTGCTCTTCTCTGGAGCGCGTCTGAGGCTCTGCCGAGGGCCTTTAGAACACCACCCGTGCAGCTGGCCCTGACCACGCCCCCCTCCCAGCTCAGCACCAGTGAGGCCCCCTCCCCACCCATCCCTGCCCTGCAGGGATGCCCTGCCTCCACCCCGTGGAGGCAGCTGGGGAAGTTGACAACAGCCTTCCACTTAGGGCCCCTGCCCCAGGGTGCAGGCACACCAGCCCTTGGGAGCAAGCCAGGAGTGACCTGGGCACACTCACGCCCTCGTGTGCTTGCAGCAGCCCAACATCCGAGAGTGAAAGGGTGGTTTTGTTTTAACCAAGTGCCTGCATGAGGTACTCTGAGGAGCACCCAGGCGTCTGGGAGGTGTCTGCCCTCCCAGGGGTCCCATCTGGTGGGCCGCAGCAGCAACAAGCCCAGCTGAGCCATAGGCGGATCTGCAGGACAGCCACTGCTGACAGGAGTTTAGTGCTGACCGTGCTCATGTTTCCACAGAAGAAAACCGAGGTGAAGGTCAGTTGGTCTCAGCTCCAGACTCGCCTGCTGCCAAGGCCCTGGCTGCCTCTATACTGCCTGAACTGACCTGGCTCAGCTTTGAATGGGGGTTGAGCAAAGGCAGGGATAGAGAGGGTGCCAGGACCCCGGGCTGCCAAGCTGGGTGGGATGGCCAATCCCACCTGCCACTGGAAGGTAGATCGGCCCAGGCGTTCTGGAGAGCAAGTCAGCAACGCACTGCAAGGGAGTCAGAAACGCCTACCCTTCGATGGAGCACCCCCATTTCTGGGCCTTTATCTGAAGGGTTCTAATGTGTATGGAAAGAGTTAGGCAGAGGTATTTCCTTTAGCATTATTTACAATAAAGAAAAAGTTGGGCACAATGACTTCGTTTATGCGAAGTGAAAGGACTATTAAATAAGTCATGGCATACCCCGGTACCGTGTCCTGCTCCAAGGCAATCCAACACTGCACACAGAGATTCAGGAATGTGCAGGCAGCCCGGGCTGTCTGTCTGAGCCTGGGCTTCATCCCCTGTAAGACAGGAGCAGGCGAGATCAGCTCAGTGAAGGGCCTGGCACCAGGCACAGGGTGGGTGCTAGTGAAGGAGCAGGCATCATTGACCCTCACTCCATGAAGATGCGTGGGAGGGCCGCACACACCTGCACATGACACCTGTTCTCACCAAGAACGCACAGAGCAAATCAGAGGGAACATTCCCATCGGTTAATGGAGAGCAGCTGCCTCTGGTAGCAAGTGAGGAGCAATTCTGTCGCTTGAGCAGGCACACGTGTGCACCTGTGTGTGTTGTGCATGTGTGTGCATGTGCTCACATGTGAGAATGTTGCATGCATGTGCATGTGTGCTCGTGTGTGTGTGGGCTTTCTTCCCTCATATAAAATGTCTTTCTGACCAGGGTCATGGTCACCATGCTTAGAAGCCACTGCTCTGTGCAACCTGATCCTGCTTCCCTCACGCTTACCAAATTCCTGGTTCTTCTCAGCTCGTGTCCCACTTGGAGAAGTAGTGCTGACATCTGGCTGGCAGTGAGGTTCTCCAGCCAGGGCCTTCAGAGCTCCCTGCTCCTGCAGTGGCTGAGCCTGGCCTTGGTGGGCATGAGCAGGGGGCCTGCTCCAGATGGGGCTAAGGACAAACACATCTCCAAATCTTTAGAATGGCCTTTTCCTGTAAAATAGTTTAATAGTGAAACACCACATCAGAAAACAACAGTTGCTGGTGGGAAGCTTTTGGAGGGAGGTGCCCCTCTACAAGGCTCCGCCTTGTCCCTGGGCGTCTGCCCAGGGAAGGAGTCTTCCTGGGAGTTGCATCTCATCCTGCAGACGCGGAATGCCAGCACCTGTGTGACCACATGTCTCATCCCCTGCTCCTTTGAGGGCTCCCTGCTGTTTGGCCCTCTCTGTGGGCTCTACACAGACACGGCCTTTACATAGCCCCCAACTAACCTCATGAATTCTAGAGAGAGGTGGACTCTTCTATTTTCAAACAATCTACATTACTGAACACTGTACATTTTCTACTTTTAATTGTAGTAATGGCACGATCTCATGTCTTTATTTGGAACTGATATTTTAATGGAAAAACAGATGTTGCGGCATTTTCTTCACAGGCCAACTCACTACCACTTTGTGGGCCTCTACCTTTCCTGGGGTTTGTGCCACTAGATGTCGGAGTCTGGGGATGACTGAAATGCACCTTCCACTTGGCCACTAGTTGTGTCTCTGCAAGCAGGTGGTGCCAGTGGGGAAGAGTAGCCGCTGCTGCTCCCTGGCCCTCTTTCACGTCTGCCGGGTGATCTGCTGGCTGGCTCGTTGGCTGCCCAGAGCTGCGGCGTTGGTATGGCCCCGGGGTGGCTGCACGCACCCTTTTGTTTCCTTTTGTCTTCTCCCCTTGTGCGACTGGTTTCTGTACCTCTGCGTTACGTCACATGTGGAGTGGGTCAGTGGGCTTGTGTTTGTGTGTGCACGTGTCTGAGAGCTACGGCCAGAGATGGGGAGGGCGGGAGAGGGCAGCCCTGTCCTTGCCTGTGCAAACATGAACTCTAGGCTGCTCTGCTTCCATCCTTGGGAGGCTGTTTGCCGTTAGCCGACCTCATTACTGATTGGGAAGCTGGAAACTGTCCCAAGGGAGCCCCTCTGTAGCTTCAGGTGCCCTTTTCTGTGGCTCGCTGAGCTGCCCTCGGTCCTCCCTACGGAACGTGGGAGGAGAGAACTGCTGCCCCCTCCTGAGCCAGACCTGAGGCTGGTGTGAAAGGGTGCCCCAGACCCCTTGTGCGCCTTTCTCACCCGCTTCCCCACAGTGGTTTTCCTTTGAACTCTCTCCCAGAACGGTTAAACCACACTCTGAACAGAAAACTGTTTTGAAAACTGCTTTGCACTTGCATCTGACAGAGCCCTTCTTGGGGGTCACCTCCACTTTCGAGTGGGCAAGGGAAGTTCAGCGGCCGGCTGTACTGGCCCGTGAAGACTGTGGGCCCCTGGGAAGCAAAGATTCTCTACTCATCATTCACTGAGCAAGGTTCCTTAGGAGTACACTAGGGGGTGCTGACTTAAAAGGGCAAGTCCCTTCTTTCTTACGGACATTTAAGGACTATTCCCTTGTCTTTTCATTGCTGTGTACCTCAGGGCAACTTAAGTTAGTAAAGTGCCGTGTTCGTTAACTCAAATAGCACTGTTACTAGCTCCTACTGTGGGCTGCAATTAGACATCCCCCGAGAATTCTGACCGCTGCATGCGCCTGGCAACTGCTCTGAGCCCACAGACTTTCCAGCTTCAGGGAGGAGCTTTGACACTTTCTAAGCTGTCAGCAGCTACTGTCCCTGCTTTGTAAATACAGATAATCAGGCTGGCTTCGTCATCCTCAGCCGCAGGACTCCCTTATTAACCTGCAGCAGGAGGAATACATCTTTCTACCGTCTATTAGGTCTGGAGTTTTTGACACCTACGTTTTAGGTCTGAGTGTGTTACAAGGTCCAGCGGGTATCCAGACCCTCATTCTAAAAGTTGGTATATACACAAGTCACCACAAATGTGCTTATATCATGATCCCTAATGATTAGTCTGCATTCTTTTCTTGTGAGAGCAGGTTAGCTGGGTGGGCCAGGGTGTTAAATGCTCTTGCATCCCCTGACCGTTGCCCAATAGGCGGCTGAGATTGGAGGCTTGGGACGTTCACAAGACCTAACAATGCCTGTGCTAAGAGGCCTCAAGAGAAGAGTGGCCTTTTGCCTTACTTAGCACACGTCAGTTCCCACGAGTTCCCTATTTCTGCACCAGAGGTGGGAGATCTGACCCTCCACTTATTTTTTCCACAGGACTTGTACCGAGAGGTGATATTTCCACATTTGCCTCAAGTTCAAAAAGCACACCTGGCATCTAAGGACTTTGCCTGATGCCACCCCAAGGAAGTCCTTCACCCTGCTGCCACAGGAGGGTGTCTGTCCGTGGGCGTCAGCCCTTTGTTTCAAGGTTCGTGCATGTGTCTGTGGCCCTCTTGGGGCCAGACACACCCCTGGAGTGCCAGTCACTGAAAGCGGCAAGCAGACAGGGGTCTGACTGCTCTCGGGCGCTGCCGGGCACTCACAGCGCTCTCCCTCCCAGCCCTGGGTAAGGAAATTATTCACTGAACACCTGCTGGAAAGTGCAAGAAAGACTTTATTCAAGACCTTGGCAATAGTGGGGAGAGACTGAATTCAAGCCCCGAAATAACAAGGAGCAGTGGGGATTCACACCCCATGGACAGGAGAGGGTGGGAATGGAGAAATAGGGAGAGGGGCTTGGTTAGGGTCGGGGGGGGGGGATTCCTTGCTAAGACCGCTCAGCCGACCGAGAATGTGGCCTAGGCAAGAAGAGGGTGCGAGAGAGCCTGACCAGAGTATGGCCCTTGGCCTGAGAGGGCACCCTTGTCCCCCACACAGTGGCCTGTTTTATAGGTAGTTAAGTGGAGGTAAATAATTAAAGAGGTAACTAATTTTGTCAAAAACAGACCTCTGTATTTTGGAGCCAAAATAGAATATGAAGACAGAGTTTAGAATAAAGAGGACCGAGAGCTTCGTTGCTTTGCCAGGCAAGGGAGGCTGCAGCGAGCTCTGGCCTTCAAAAACCTGCACCCGCCGGCCCCCCCCCCGCCCCCGCCCCGGGGAAGGGGCTGGGGGCTTTCCAGGGAGATACAGGAATTCATTAGTTGTTTTCAGGGTGGTACCAGGTTCCTGAAACAAAAGGCTAGGGAGGGAGGAGGGGAGGTTTGTGGAAAGGACAAAAAAGGTTACTTTAAAATCGAGCTTGTTGAAGGGTTAGTGCAGCCATTTGGAATTTTGTTCGACTTCATGCTTTTAAGCTTTTTTTTTTTTCAGTGCCTTTTTTCCCCTAAGACAGGTCAAGGAACCTGCCACAGAGGACATGCCGTGGCCCATGGACCCAGAGCCTTCTGGGTGTGTGGCTTGGTGCCTCAGTCTCTCTGACTTCCTCCATCCCGAGACCTGTCTCCCCATCTCTGGCCTCTGCTCTGCTACTTTTGGGGGCTGTGAGCTGCTGTCTTCTATTCCCCCTTCTCTGCCACGGCCTTCTCATCTGCCCCCCTTCCTGTTCCAGCACAAAGCTTCCGCCTGAGTCCCCCTCTGCCCTGACTGACCACAGCCCAGAACAGATCTATTGGTTAGGTTGTGTGGCCTGTTTCTAAAGGACACAAGCTTCATGCTTTATCTCTTCTTCTTTCTTTCTTTTTTTTTTTTTTTAAAGATTTTTATTTATTTATTTGACGGAGAGAGACACAGCGAGAGAGGGAACACAATCAGGGGGAGTGGGAGAGGGAGAAGCAGGCTTCCCGCGGAGCAGGGAGCCTGATGCGGGGCTCAATCCCAGGACCCCGGGCCCATGACCTGAGCCGAAGGCAGACGCTCAACGACTGAGCCTCCCAGGTGCCCCTCTCTTCTTCTTTCTTAACAGGAAAATCCAGACAACAAATTAATTTGTCCTTCGTGGATTATGTCCTGCTGGAATCTCTCCACAAGAAAAGTGTTCCTGGAGGAGGCTGAGCCCTGCAAGGCCGCTGCAGACAGAAGCTCTCAGATACCAGGTAGGGGACAGTTACCTGGAGGCCACACCTCAGAGGAAAGGCCCCCCACAACGATGGCCTGTGAACCCCTTAACCCCTAACCCTAACCCCCTTACAGGCCAGAAGCAAAGCTGGAACTGCACCTCCAGGATCAAGCCAGTTTTTCCTGCTTGTCCTGTTTGGGTGGCCCAGGAGGCAGAAACTCAATATGCTAGAGCAGGGAGGGCCGGGGAGGGTCCAAGAGGAGAAGGGAGACAGCGGACCCCAGACCATACCATTCTCAGAGGCCCTCAGGGGCAGAGACACAGGGGTGGGGGGGGCAGACAAGAGGGGGGAGGACAAGCCTCAGCTCTGCGCCTCAAGCAGGACAGCCTAGCTCTGGGCTCTAAATGCTTCCTCACAGGGTCTCAGGACCCCCTCTCCTGGCTCCTCCTCAGTCTCCTGTACTGGAGACACCTACTCCCCCACTTTTGGATGTTGGGCTGTCCCCAGGCTCACCACCTGAGGACAGCCCAACATGGGTGGTCTCCCTCACCCCCAGCTCCTCTCCCAGGACATCCAAAACAGAGCCCTCCAGCCACCCCTGAAATCTCTGTTTTCCAGATGCTTAGGGCAAAATCCCGGCATCATCTCAACTCAGCTCTTTCTCAGGAGCCCCACACCCACCCTTGATTTCCTGATGGCCCCACGGTTGCCGCACATTCCAAGCCCACCACCGCCCTCTGCTGGTGGAAGCCACTTCACCAGGACCCGCCTTACTCTAGTCTCCCAACAGCCTCTGCGGTCTTCCTGCCTGCCCAGTTTTGTTCTTCACCAAACAGCCAAAAAGATTATTTTGGAAAAGACAGGTCATCACGCTGCTGTCTCATATCTCATTTCTAATGAGACCCGAAGACTTCACGGTGCTTCACCATTTGTAGTGACCCTTTGTCCTCTTCAACCTCACTGTCCTCCAGATACTCCGGGCTCTGGCTCCCTTCAAACATGCACCCCTACCTCAGGACCTTTGTACATCCTGTTCATCTGCTGGAAAGCTTTTCCCCCAAGCTCGTGTATAGCTGGCCCTCGCTTCATTCACACCTCTGGTCATGTCTCATTTTCTTTTAAAATTTTTTATTATTTTATTATTTATTATTTATTTATTATTTTATTTTTTCTTAACATATAATGTATTATTTGTTTCAGGGGTACAGGTCTGTGACTCATCAGTCTTACACAATTCACGGTGCTCACCATAGCACATACCCTCCCCACTGTCCATCACCCATCCACCCCATCCCGCCCACACCACTCCACTCCAGCAACCCTGTTTGTTTACTGAGCTTAAGAGTCTCTTCTGGTTTCATCTTATTTCATTTTTCCCTCCCTTCCCCTATGATCCTCTGTCTTATTTCTCAAATTTCTCATATCAGTGAGATCATATGATAATTAGACAATTATCAATCTCTGATTGACTTATTTCGCTTAGCATAATACCCTCCAGTTCCAGCCATGTCGTTGCAAATGGCAAGATTTCGGTTTTTTTGATGGCTGCATAATATTCCATAGTGTGTGTGTGTGTGTGTGTATCTCACATCTTCTTTATCCATTTATCTGTTGACGGACATCTTGGCTCTTTCCATAGTTTGGCTATTATGGACATTGCTGCTATAAACATTGGGGTGCACATACCCCTTCAGATCACTACATTTGTATCTTTGGGGTAAATACCCAGTAGTGCAATTGCTGTGTTGTAGGTTAGCTCTATTTTTTTGAGGAACCTCCATACTGTTTTCCAGAGTGGCTGCACCAGCTTGCATTCCCACCAACAGTGTAGGAGGGTTCCCCTTTCTCCGCATCCTCGCCAACATCTGTCGTTCCCTCACTTGTTAATTTTAGCCATTCTGACTGCTGTGAGGTGGTATCTCACTGAGGTTTTGATTTGTATTTCCTCGATGCCGAGTGATGTTGAACACTTTTTCATGTGTCTGTTGGCCATTTGGATGTCTTCTTTGTAAAAATGTCTGTTCATGTCTTCTGCCTATTTCTTGATTGGATTATTTGTTCTTTGGGTGTTGAGTTTGATAAATTCTTTATAGATTTTGGATACTAGCCCTTTATCTGATATGTCATTGCAAATCTTCTCCCATTCTGTCAGTTGTCTTTTGATTTTGTTGACTGTTTCCTTTGCTGGGCAGAAGCTTTTTATCTTGATGAAGTCCCAATGGTTCATTTTTTTGCCCTTGTTTCCCCTACCTTTGGCGATGTGTCTAGGAAGAAGTTGGTGTGGCTGAGGTTGAAGAGGTTGCTGCCTGTGTTCTCCTCAAGGATTTTGATGGATTCTTGTCTCACATTTAGGTCTTTCATCCATTTTGAGTCTATTTTTGTATGTGGTGTAAGGAAATGGTCCAGTTTCATTCTTCTGCATGTGGCCGTCCAATTTTCCCAACACCATTTTTTGAAGAGACTGTCTTTATTTCCATTGGACATTCTTTCCTGCTTTGTCAAAGATTAGTTGACCATAGAGTTGAGGGTCCATTTCTGGGCTCTCTATTTTGTTCCATTGATCTATGTGTCTGTTTTTGTGCCAGTACCATAGTGTCTTGATGATGACAGCTTTGTAATAGAGCTGGAAGTCTGGAATTGTGATGCCGCCAGCTTTGCTTTTCTTTTTCAACATTCCTCTGGCTATTCAGGGTCTTTTCTGGTTCCATAGACATTTTAGGATTATTTGTTCCATTTCTTTGAAAACTGTTGATGGTATTTTGATAGGGATTGCATTAAATGTGTAGATTGCTCTAGGTAGCATAGACATTTTCACAATATTTGTTCTTCCAATCCATGAACATGGAATGTTTTTCCATTTCTTTGTGTCTTCCTCAATTTCTTTCATGAGTATTCTATAGTTTTCTGAGTACAGATCCTTTGCCTCTTTGGTTAGATTTATTCTTAGGTATCTTATGGTTTTGGGTGAAATGTGATCCCTAATTTCTCTTTATTCTGTCTTGTTGTTGGTATATAGAAATGCCACTGATTTCTGTGGATTGATTTTATATTCTGCCACTTTACTCAATTCCTGTGTAGTTCTAGCAGTTTTGGGGTAGAGTCTTTTGGGTTTTCCACATAAAGTATCACATCATCTGCAAAGAGTGAGAGTTTGACTTTTCTTTGCCAATTTGAATGCCTTTTGTTTCTTTTTGTGTGATTGCTGAGGCTTGGACTTCTAGTACTATGTTGAATAGCAGTGGTGATAGTGGACATCCCTGCCCTATTCCTGACCTTAGGGGAAAAGCTCTCAGTTTTTCCCCATTGAGAATGATATTCCCTGTGGGTTTTTCATAGATGGCTTTTATGATATTGAGGTATGTACCCTCTATCCCTACACTGTGAAGAGTTTTATTCAAGAAAGGATGCTGTACTTTGTCAAATGCTTTTTCTGCATCTATTGAGAGGATCATATAGTTCTTGTTCTTTCTTTTATTAATATATTGTATCACATTGATTGATTTGTGGATATTGAACCACCCTTACAGCCCAGGAATAAATCTCACTTGGTCGTGGTGAATAATCCTTTTAATGTACTGTTGGATCCTATTGGCTAGTATTCTGGTGAGAATTTTTGCATCCATGTTCATCAAGGATATTGGTCTGTAATTCTCCTTTTTGATGGGGTCTTTGTCTGGTTTTGGGATCAAGGTAATACTGGCCTCATAAAATGAGTTTGGAAGTTTTCCTTCCATTTCTATTTTTTGGAACAGTTTCAGAAGAATAAATATTAATTCTTCTTTAAATGTTTGGTAGAATTCCCCTGGGAATCCATCTGGACCTGGGCTGTTGTTTGTTGGGAGATTTCTGATTACTTCTTCAATTTCCTTACTGGTTATGGGTCTGTTCAGGTTTTCTATTTCTTCCTGGTTCAGTTTTGGTAGTTTATACGTCTCTAGGAATGCATCCATTTCTTCCAAATTGTCTAATTTGCTGGCATATAGTTGCTCATAATATGTTCTTATAATTGTTTGTATTTCTTTGGTGTTGGTTGCGATCGCTCCTCTTTCATTCATGATTTTATTCATTTGGGTCCTTTCTCCTTTCTTTTTCATAAATCCGGCCAGGGGGTTATCAATCTTATTAATTCTTTCAAAGAACCAGCTCCTAGTTTCCTTGATCTGTTCTACTGTTCTTTTGGTTTCTATTTCATTGATTTCTGCTCTGATCTTTAATATTTCTCTTCTGCTGGATTTAGGCTTTATTTGCTGTTCTTTCTCCAGCTCCTTTAGGTGTAGGGATAGGTTGTGTATTTGAGACTCTTCTTGTTTCTTGAGAAAGGCTTGTATTGCTATATACTTTCCTTTTAGGACTGCCTTTGCTGCATCCCAAAGATTTGGAACAGTTGTGTTTTCATTTTCATTTGTTTCCATGAATTCTTCCTTAATTTCCTGGTTGACCCTTTCATTCTTTAGTAGGATGCTCTTTAGCCTCCATGTATTTGAGTTCCTACTGACTTTCCTCTTGTGATTGAGTTCTGGTTTCAAAGCATTGTGGTCTGAAAATATGCAGGGAATGATCCCAATCTTTTGGTACCGGTTGAGACCTGATTTGTGACCTAGGATGTGATCTATTCTGGAGAATGTTCCATGGGCACTAGAGAAGAATGTGTATTCTGTTGCTTTGGGATGGAATGTTCTGAATATATCTGTGAAGTCCATTTGGTCCGGTGTGTCATTTAAAGCCTTTATTTCCTTGTTGATCTTTTGCTTAGATGATCTGTCCATTGCAGTGAGGGGGTTGTTAAAGCCCCCCACTATTATTGTATTGTTGTCGATGTGTTTCTTTGATTTTGTTACTCATTGGCCAATATAATTGGCTGCTCCCATGTTAGGGGCATAGATATTTAAAATTGTTAGATCTTCTTTTTTTTTTTTTTTTTTT